AACAAGGTGGATCTGATGCAGATGTAAATGAGCGGATCGGCGAAGCAAGGGAAGTACATCTAAGACTGAAGAACATATGAAACTCCAAACAACTGTCAACTAACACCAAAGTCAGAATTTTTAATACAAATGTTAAGATAGTTCTAATGTATGGGGCGGAAACTTGGAAAACTGCCAAAGCCATCATCCAGAAGCTACAAGTATTTATTACCAGTTGTCTACGCAAAATACTGAGGATCCGTTGACCAGACACTATCAACAACAATCTACTTTAGGAAAGAACAAACCAGATTCCAGTGGAGGAGGAAATCAGGAAGAAGCGCTGAAAAAGGATAGGACGTACATTGTTAAAAGCACCCGATTGCATCACAAGGCAAGCCCTCACTTGGAGCTTCCAAGGTCATAGAAAAAGAGGATACACAACAACTGGACAGAACTAGAAATGCAGGCCCAGGACTGAGTTATATATACATAACTCATCCGAGGGTGTCAGGAGTGTTTGGGCCGATTTGCATCTAGCTGGGCTAAACCTTCTGCTATCCTGTGACATATATGTGTATGATGTGTTCGGGTATATTCGGTGACGTGCATAAATGGAGCCTTTTGGGGGTTGTGGTGGAGGCTACCTTTTCGTGGTCCTGCAAAGCAACGTGGGGTTGTTTACAACGGTGCAGCTAAAAGCCGTTCCGAAAGCTTAGGATGCCGTGCCTAGTATGGTCCAGAATAATGGTACGCGTTTGTGGTCTCAAAGCCGCGGATGCTGTTTCGCCACTCTGGGGGATCGGGACTGAACTCCTCTAAGTCTGAATCCCGTCCATTGAGCGTAGGTAAATTGAAATAATGGTTTGAGAACTTGTCCTCTATCACTCTACTTGTAGAAAATACATTGTAAGGGATATAGCTTTCCAGCTTTCTTGAAGGCGGCCTTAGATGATCTGTCTGCGGAAGCAGCCGTAAAGATCCTGGACTATTGACGCCGACCTTATGTGGTCCCAAACACTCTGCATCTCGGTCTAGTGTATCAGTTGGCGTCGAGGCCCCTTAAACAAGGGTCTTCTGTTGGGTTACGGGATCCTGTGCTGAAAGGGTACTTGATCACAAATGATGTCTGTCCACTTATGTAGTGGGATTAACCCTGATTGGCTGACTGCTTGTGCTTGGTCGAGTTCATGACACCTACCCCATGAAAGGGTGTACGTTCCGGCTGACCTTGTGGGACAAACTCGATCTTTTGCTTTATGTGGGGTCTGAGGGCTCCGCTCGATTGTATCAGCGCAAAACAGTTGGAGGCCAGACGACTGGAATGGCTGCTGGTTGGTTCGGCAATCTGTTTCGGGGTGCCACGTCTAGCTGGGTAAACCTGTCTTGCCGCCCGTGTCGATTGGAGACTTTGGGTAATGGACTAGTTGGAGTGGTCGAGTTGATTCATTAGTGCCCAAACGTGTGCGTGCTGTTTGGATGTCCGACTTGTCTGTAGGACAATCTAGATAATATGTGCGCTCTCGTATGGGGCAGGGGTGATCACGAAACGACACTTGTGAGAATCCTTGTGTTGCCTAAAAGGCAGCGGCGTGCATATGCTGCAGGCTTATCGGTTAACCAAGAATATATATACGAAAAGAGTATAATTTATCTAATTTAGGGCTTCTAGCGCTTAGATTTTTTTGGATTTATTTTTCCAATCATGAGTTGGAACGTGCTTATTTTGAATACTTTCAACATTTTTGTGTGGATTTTCTAAATCTTTCTCATGCGATAATCTGATCTATTTTTGTTGGTAATTTTATGATGATATTCAGATTTATCAAACACCTAGAAATTCCTAAAAGCTTGACATCTAAGTTCATCTGTGGTCAGTAGACAAATTGACGTAAATCCAGTCTGCCGATCCACGTGAATTATTCACTGAATATGAGGTTAATCAAACAGAACAGAGGAGGATTCAAGGTTAAATGGAGACATATAATCAGGAACAAGTCAATCAGAATGAAGTGATATCAAACTTAAGTAACAGTTCTGAAAATTTTAGTTCGAAATGAAACTTAAGGAGTTCACAGAACGCAACATTACCTACAACAGTAATATCAGTTACAAATATGTTTGATCACTATTCATTATGCTGTCAGCGTTTGTTCCTTAAGGTACGATATTTCTCTCTTGTGTTTACTCATTATTAAGACCATAAGTAAAACTAAAGTCAGCCAGTCAGTCAGATGCAACGTAGAACTTCGTACGTAAGTACATCAGTTCATGTCGCCATACCACATCAGCACAGAGATATAATTGTCAATTCAAATCCAATAGTAGTAGAGGTAGTAATCGGAGAGGTTAGGGTTAGACGATACTATTCAAGAAGTATGATTCAGTGAGAAAAATTTAGAGAGTCGAAACTAGAGGTGTTGAAGAGTCCAGAAGATTAGGGTTTGAGAGAACACAAAGAATAAATGCACCGGCGCCATCGCGAACGATTTTGAGCCATGTGATTCAAGGTCTCTAACCATCGATTATTATCATCTCGCGGACCCCAACCAGGTAGTCGACAATTACCGACATGGCTCAGTCCACTTGTCAATGACTTCATGGATTTCTGCCATGTTTTGGTCTGGCCGCCCCTAGCTTTCTTCCAACCTACTCCTACACTACAAAACAAAGCTCGTCGAGGCAGTCGGTGGTTCGGCATACACAAGACATGTCCCAACCACCTCAACTGATGAAGTTTCACCACTTCATTGATTGATCTGCCATCCTTGCCTAGTACTCGTTTCCTAACGACAGCAATGCTTCGAAGACACCTATGATCGAAAACCAGTAACCTACGGATATCTTCTACTCTCATTGGCCATGTTTCACAGCCATATAGGAGAACGGAGCGAACTGCTGCACAGTACACTCGTCCTTTGGTTAACAAGCGGATATCACGCCTACGCCATAAGTGACGCAGGTTGGCAAAAGCCAATCGAGCCTTATAAGTAAAACTAAATGTCATTTATGAAGAAAAACAACATTAAACTCAAGTATAATGACGTACGCACAATAAATTCAGTGACATATGTAATTTTTGTCAAGAATTTTGTTAAAGAATTTCGTAAACTTGGTGGACTATTTCAATCCTACCATATAATTCAATAGTTACGATATATTTAGATCATCAGTGATTTAATTCAGTTGAACTGCAGATAGAAAAGAAAATAAACTTTAAGAAGTGTGATCTTAAACATGAATTACTGCTTAAAGAACTGGTTTTGTGTTACGAGAACATTTACTTCATTTCTATCATTACTGATAACTGATTGACTAATATTACTGCTATCAATACAGTAAGTCTGTTCTTGAAATGCACTGAGGAAAAAAACCTGATTACTTAATTATTGTTGAGCATAATTAATGAAATTTAAATGAGTCCAAGAAAATAATAATATTTGTAACTCAGAGATATTACTCGGCCGCTAAAACTAGAAGAGTACGATTAACACCTGATAATGATCGGTCGAAAGTTAGGTGCTTTGATTAATCAAGCACGGATCATTGATAATAAATGATGTTTGCATAAAATGACCCGAAAAAAATGTTTATTCGTTTATGGGTGAGAAACATGGACGGTAAGAGTTGAAGACATTCGTAGGTTACTAATATTCGATCATCAGTGTCTTCGAAGCATTGCTCGCATATCCTGGGATAACCGAGTAAGCAATGCTGTCGTTAGGTGCTAGGTATGGATGGCAGATCAACAGATGAAGTAACCAAACTTCATCAATTGAGGTGGTTGGGACATGTGTTACGAATGCCTAACCACCGACTGCCTCGATGAGCTATGTTTTGTGGTGTAGGAGTAGGTTGGAATAAAGCTAAGTGCGGCCAGACCAAAACATGGCACAAATCCATGAAGTCACTGACAAGTGAACTGAGTCATGTTGGTGGATTCACAGGTGCATCCACTCTTCGTGTTCCCTATAATTCTAACCTTCTGAATTCCTCATGATTTCTGTCTTTCTCCTTCTCAATTTATCTCATTGAATTATACTTCTCGAATCATATCTTCGCTCCCTAATCTTCCCCATTACTGCTAATACTTCTACTATCGCTACCAGTATCGCATTCGAACTGACAGTTGCGTCTCTGTGCTGATGTGGTATGGCAACCTGAACTGATGTACGTACGAAGTTCTACGTTGTAGCTGACTGACTGACTCGCCCTGACTATTCCTACTAGTGAACATGGGGTTTTTATTTTACGCACGTAAAAGGAATAAGACTATATGTGAAAAAGGCTTAATGGGAAATTAACTAAAATACAATTTAAACAAATGTGCCGGATGAGTGTAGCAAAACGTTTGGATTGCTAGAGGATTACTAATTTTTCAAACAATTTACGAAGCTATAGAATAATCGTATATTTATTTAAACAGTGAAAGAACAAACGAACGCAATGCATATGTCGTGTACACTTCTTAGAATTACAAATGTATAATGAAGTGATGTGTTGAGATATATCATAACGAACTATCGGTACATTATTTCAGGTTGGAAATTATCTGCAATTTAAGTTTTCACTACAACTGATTTTTTAATAATGAATGCACAATCCATAGTGGGCAGTTACACTTATTATCTCGGTTTCACTGTCTATACTCATATGGAATAATTATCAAGAACAAATTAATGATAAATCGCAGCTCTTCATGAGTAAACATTTTTGCGCTCATCGAAATTAGCTGAGTATAGCCAGCTTCAAAAGCATCAAGATGTGTTGAAATGATTGACCCGTAACCCAAAATCTGGAGCACGCTATGTAATAATCGTTCAGGTATAACATCAAATTTAATGGGACTAGCCGAACAACGTTGTCCAGTTAAACAACTAAAACGAATATGTCAACTTACCCAACCACGTGTTGCATTCAGAATGTACTGTTACAAATTCGGATGAGATTCGGATTTTGAGGCGATGTCTTAATTGTTTCATTCAATTATTAAGCCCACAATAATAAAAAAGATAACAGTGGAATAGTTTTTATACGCTTTTATTATATTTAATTTGGTTTATGAAATATATATTTACTTAGTTTGGTTAAATAAACATTCAATTGAAGGATGCAATATTTTACTGATGATAAATACAATTTTACATTTTAAAAAAAGGAAACAAAAATATTATCCGACCGACCGACACAACAGTAGCAACAGCTTAAATATGATGTCGTTTATTTTTTTTTCAAAAAGAAAGAATTGTACTAGAAAGGAGTAAGTATATAAGGCGAATCCAAAAAAAAAGCACTTTCATGAAAAATAAAAATACAAAAGTAAAGAATGAGAAATAAGTGAAAAGAAATCGAAGTATTTCATCTTTTGGTTGCTATTTAAGGTATGATATTTTCTCTTTTTTTATTATAAATATTATATCATCATTGTATTGAATGAATGAATGAATCTATATATATCTTTTACTCTCTTTGTTTATTCTACATTCTACATTCACAGAAAAGCACATAAACACCATATTCACAATGCTGAGATAATTGAAACAGACTGATAGTGTATCCAACATACATATATAGGTACAACATTGAACAACAGTCGCAAAAAGTACATACACAGGCAAAATAAGTACACACATATATCGACCACGTATTATTGTAACTGGTTTTGTCACCGACATATTAGAAATACTCTCGAAGTAAAGAAAACTGTTTTTTTTTTTCATAAAAAAAACACAGCAGTAATAGTAAATAGCAACAATAATAAAACAGAAATGCAAAACAAGTACAACTAATGAAATTGATTGAGAATAAGATGTGAAGATTCCATTTACAATCAGAGAATTTTTCAAGCGAAGTAGAAGCGTACAAAGAGAGAAAGACCGAAGCAACAAACAAAATACAACTGTTTACTGAAAATGAGAGAAAAAAAAACATTTCATTGGAAAATCCATTCTTTTTTTTTCATAATATACCCGCCGGAATGGTTTCTTAACAATTGCCACTTGTTGATTATTCCTTTCCTACCAATGTACAATGATGGATAATTTTCTTTGGATACACAATGGAACCATTTTAACATTTTTAAGAGTTGAAACAATAGTAAGCATGATATGAACGATCTTTTAAACAGGTAATAATACTACATTCGTTTGTTGTAAAATGAATAATCATTGATGAATTCACTACACATTAAATTAGGATGAAAGGGGGGTATGGGGAATGACTGGATACAGTAGAAAAGAAAGTTTTCCTTGAGGAACATAAAATCATCCTGAAGTTTAGATAGACTAAAGAAACACATCACTTTAACTTACTACACAAATGATACAATAAGTATGTATGTGGGCGGATAGATAGAAGAATAGGGAGAAGAAAAGAAGTTCGACAAAAGGCTTCATAATTGTAAACGGCGGAAGACGGACAAATGTGTGAAATACATTTATATATATCAAATGTACTGTTGCATGAATCAACCCCGAGCACGTTTGTATGGTTTGAAATTACAAAATCTACAAGAAATCAAAGTAGGAAAAGAAGAACGGTTGAGTCATTCGAATGAATTCTTTTATTTATTCAAATTATACTAATGTAAATAGCATTTCGAAAAGTTTTGCTTCAAGAATTGACCTTAGACAATTAAAGTTAACATATGCAAACTGCATTTTTTTGTCCCACTTAGGTACTCGTTCCAAGTTAACCCTACTCCACAGTACTATCCAAATAAAATAGTGGAAAATTAACAATTAGGTAGTAAAATTGACTTTCAGTTACATGATTAAGAATAGCTGAATTAGAATCTAGTAGCCGGTTAAAAAAATATCTGGTCAGTAATTCGTAAACATTCACGATTAACTTCTGCCTATATGACAAGTGGATTTGGAAGTTTTGTGACACTCACTAAAAGCATGTTAATAAATTATAAACACAGTACGTGAAATGGTGGCCAAGTGTGCCAAGTATGTGGTTTTCAGCTTGAATCACGCACCACTACTTAGTTCAGTTTAAGCAGACATTGAGTGGTACAGTTAACTATCTTATACAACTAAGGTGTGACTTGAATATATGTACTCAGCACATGAGTAAAATATTCAGCCAATCAAGCATATAATGTCAATTGAACATGCTAAATAATTTGGAAAACTTACTGAATTGAATAAGAAATACAAGTTTAATCAAAAATAAGTCATTAAAAAAAGAATTTCTTCATTAAATGAGAATGAGATGATACCTTTCAGTAAGGTTTTAGCTCTAGTTTTATGTCAGTTAAAGCATAACTAAGAAAGGATCATAAAAATTTGATTTATTTTGATTTGAGTCTATTCAACTGAATTTATCACGAACAATATTCGGAATTCAAATATTGACTGCTGACTGACAGAGTGAACTGCACGATCAATATTGTTAATATAATATTTAAATGAATAATTTCTAAGAAAATTTGTCTGAATTTCTACAAAACAAAATCTTCATTTTATTAACGTAAAAAGCGATATTGACGGGTCAAATTTACACAGATAAGCCTAGCTTAATAGAAGAAAAAACAAAGCATTTAGTAATATGCCGAAATTTCATTGATTTGTTTTATTTAATGAAAAAAAGGAGTGTATTCGAAGAATAATTAAGCGGTCGGTTAGTTATAGAAAGTCTGTGACATTGAAAAAAAAACAAGAAAAATATATGCAAATATAATAAAAACTAGTGTTAGCAGTCTTATATTGACACTATTATTTTACCATAACCATTATTATTTCCAGTTATTGATGAGTTCCAGAAATAGTTGGTACAACAGGATTGGAAATCTCTTGTTGTTGTTGGTGAGCATGTCGTTGACGTGTTAATTGTAATTCACATCGACTTTGCCGGTGTTTATCCACAAGATACGAAAAGCTTGTATCTAACCATTGTTTGATATCTGCATAGGTGACAATAATCACATTTTGACTATCACGACTGACTAGACAGAGATGTTCAGGTGAAGCAGCTTCAACCTGAAAAATAAACAGATGATGTTTTTGAATGTACAAAAATGAAGAATCAAGAATTGGTAAATTTCATGAATTATTAAAAGATAGATCTGGTAATGGAAGAAACAAAAATATCAACTATCCAGTGATTGCATGGAAAAAAATACGAGTCTATTAAGAATGAGAGTGCTACAGTTTGAGTTTACTATTTGATTTATCCTAAATTCAGCAATTAAATATTTTCCCAGTTAAAAACAAAAACTGATCTTAGCTACACCAACATTGAAAATCTGGAAAGACTGGACGGCCGTTTTGTCTCAGGACGGTAGTCTTCAGCTGTGTACAACCGCGCGTCACGCACGGACATTTAGATTATAAACCGCCAAGCCAGTAGCCAATAGTGTTAAAACTTGGCTTCAATCAATCCAAGATCTTGCTCAATCTTCATTCATTTCCTGTGACGGTGACTAACTCATATCCAAAATGAACTCCACTAGTCTCTGCTCTTCACTAGAACTCCAAGAACACATTTTGAATTTAGACAATATCGAGCACGTGATTTTCATTAGTAAACGAGATTTGCAGGGATTGTATTACTTTCACAGTTGAAATCACGTGTTGACGGTGAGTGTGTAGTACTGAGGAGTTCTATGCTAGAACGAAATAGCCGTTCAGTGTTTACAGGTTTTAAATAATGGTATAGCTCAGTTCGTGAACATAATACTATCACTATTATAATACTATCACAAAACCTCTAGAGGAGGACTTGTATGAAATTATGTATAATGATACTTCAACCAAAAAAATATTATGATTTATTCGGCGAGTTAAAATAGCATCATGGAAAAAATTAAATTAAATATGTTTCGTCAAGAAACACAAAAAGTCAAACATATGTACAAAAAAAACAACTGCACAAGGTGGACGGACATATGCTTAGGAATAGCAAAATTAAAATACCAGTCTACAATTAAGTCAACTTAAATCCTTAAATAACAAGCGGATGTTGATGCACAATGATAGATAACACTAGACTTTAGACAATCAGAATAACTAGTTCAGGAATATTACAAGAATTATTGATCAATATCACTTCTATGAATGTGATATAGTAAGTAATCATATAAAATGTTCATCAGTTGACTAATACTTGTTGATTAGGTTCCTCCTGGTGTATATATAAAATATACAACTGAATAAAATGAAGAATTAAACAACGTTCAGTATAAATAATATCAACCAGATGATTTTGTTCTGGAGCAAAACATCAGAGTGATGTAAATATAAAGCGACTTCAACTCATGTCAAAACTGACAAACTTGTATTATTTGAATTTGAATAAATCACATTTAGTTATGGAGAAAACCAGGCATGGTGGAGAAAACTTGTAGCTCAGGTGGATGACTGTGGACGACTTCTTCAGCTCCGTTTACGTGAACAATTAGCAGTCAAACGCCACGACAACGCTTCGCTTATATCAATACATACCGACAATTATGGACACACATTTGATTGGAACAATGTGGAAATACTGGGTAGGGGGAGGACAAAGAACACTAGAGAATTTTTAGAAGCTTGGCACTCAGGCCAATCAGCAATCAACAAACACATCGACATTAACTCAACTTATCAACCAATCAGAAAAATCATAGGTGACACAGGATCAAGAATCAGATCAAAAGGGGGGTGCAATCAAAACAAAGTTGCAAACTACAGGTCAAAAGTCAACAGCAACCAATCAAGATCGAGGTTAGCAGAACAAGCTACAGGTCAAACGTGGAGAAATCCGAATGCTTCACTCCTATCTGAAGTTTGTGCTGATGATGTTGTTCAGAAGAACAATGAAAGCTCCACAACCAAAACAACCAGCTCAGAGAACGAAACACTACCATAAAACCAGGCATGTTCGACCAACAAACCATTAATGAATCAAAATGATACAGTGTTCGAACTTCTATCTAGGTGGTTTAATTGTAAAATCTAGGCTCCATTAAGAAGCAATCATACTATAATTAACGCACAAAGTAAACCACGGATTTTTCAACAGATACAAAGGATATTATGCTGATTATACTTTTAACGAAAACATATATAAACAGTAATTGTTTATTTCCAGAGTATATGTTTATTGATTAAGAATTTAGTTGCACCTGTAATTCTATTAAATAGAACAAAATCAACGTACCTTGTTCAGTGTAGTAATAATATGTGCAAGATCTAAGTATGGAGCACCAAGAGGATCGGATTGGTGAAATACGAAATCTCGAAATAATTTCAACATATAACGATCACCTGTTTCAGACCATTCTGGAGAAGTACCCTGACTATAAGACAGTTAGGAAATGAAATATTATTTACTTATGGTAATCTTACAACAACCCTGAAAAATTGGTATAAAAATTAACGTTGGTTCTGAAAACATATATCCAACTGAATTTATTATTATATTTTCTGGTGTGAGAAAAAAAAAGAATTATGCGCAAAAAACATACTAATTTGATATTGCATACATTGTGGAAAGTTGTTACTGAATCAGTTTAAGGAATAATTCTCAATCTTCGAGAGATCGGACTGGACGATCAACTGTAAAACACAAGTTTGAAGGTTCCCACACCACTTGCATTGAATCTTTCTTTTTGTACAGTATTTTAACACTGTTTAAAAACTTGTTAGAAAAATCTATACCTAATTACTTAATTCGATTCATAATTATAGGATGATTCTTTTTCTTAAAACATAAACAATCTTTAATCAGGAAAAACACCGAAAGCCTAATGATCAGCTGATATCATTAGTTCATTGTAAAGGCTACTTCGAAACTACTACATTTCGTACTAAATATTCAGGAGAATATTCATTAAATAAATGATTCATTTATTAAAGAGCAATCAGTCTAAAAATGTCCATTTAGTACAGGCTTTCTATAGAATCTTATAGCCTGTCAGTCAATTTCTTCGATAATTATCGATTTCAGGTGAATATTTAAATTCGAATCAGGTGTATTGTAAATAAACTTATGATACAATGAAACATGAATTAAAGCTTTAAGACTAACTCCACAATGAAAATAACATTATTTATTTTTTTTAGTTTGGAGAAATTAGTTTTTTCTACTTACTAGGGGACTATTCTACTGAATAAACAGCTTGAGAGTAGTGAAAGCATATGACTTTCAACCATTAAGTGGTGACATATGTCAAATTCAGCAATATTTAACATTTTTAGCCAGTGTGTAGTGTGGTATCATTCGCTCTTATATGTCGTGAATGTGACGCGTAGCTGAGTACACGAACCTAGTACTTGGCAAATAAATGGCATTAAATCCCTTTTTAACAGGCCTGGTGAAAACAATATCTATGTTGGCAATATGAAATAATAACTTATAAATAAATGAATCTCACGGTGGCAAACAATATATCTGTTGGTACCTAACAGATAACTAAACCAATTTATATGAAGTTAAAAAAAAACGGAAGAATTCACAGAAAATTAAGGAGAAACACATAATTAGCTGTAAATTCGACAAAGTTGACGTAAGGGTGGTACATAGGTTATGACATTTAAACTATGGACTGACTAAGTTGTAAAACGGAACAGAACTAAGTTATAATAATGTAGCTTTTTTTTTAATCAGGATAAAGGATAACTCAATATTCCTTAAAACAAAAACATACACTCATTAAAATAAATAATTTTAGTACAAATGCTTGAGAACATTGAACAACATATGTATGCATTCACACACACAAAACTTGTCACACGACATATAACACATTCACATGTTTACACATAGATTCTAGGTAGAATGATGATGCACATTAAATCAAAATAAATCTATAGGTGTATAACATCTACAGTATATTTTTCTATTACAACTATTACATGAAGTACTGATTAAATTGTAAAAAAAAAATAAATAAATAACATTCAATGTGGTATATAACATGTACACAGACAGTATTTGCGATGTATCAAATATTGATGTATATTGTATTGTAGAGCTTAGCAACTTCACGGTAATGTTATACTAATTGCTGTCTAAGGTAAACACAACTAACTAGATGTTTAATTATCATGAAATAATAAATAATAATAAGACAAGCCAAGGATCATTGATTTAATCATTTTTAAGTAATAATAATGAAACTGTCATTAATTAATTGTGATATGGATGGATAAACAAGTACTCAAAACTAACTTATCGTATGTGACTACTAGATAAATTTATATTTTGCTCGTGAAAAATACATTTAAAAGAAATACAAAAGCTTAGAGCAGAAGCGCAGTGATTAAAAAAAAAGTGAATGCAATTATCTAATTTACTGAGATAATGAAACAGAATGATGAAAAAAGAACTCATAAGTTAATACAGTGAGCATGAACAAGTATAACGAAGTCATAAAACAACCCCAATCAATCTATACAATAAAATAGAATCAATGAAATAAGGTAACCTTGGAATAATTTTATCAAGAGAAGTGTTTTTTTTTAAAAAAATCATCTAAATTATAAAAGAAAAGGAAATAATAAATGCTAAACCTGACAAAACAAAAACTCACTCGCAACGCTCCACAATAGATTGAAGTTTGCAGATGAGCCGGAAAAGTCTGTCACATTCCAATTCCTATACAACATAATGATGTAACAGAAAAAATGATTTTCAAATGGATTTTGTAAACTTTGAAAATACATATTGACATGAAAGAAAGAAGAGAGAGGTAAAAAGTGTGATATAGGCAATTGTACTTTTGTCTTTATGCGAAACAATTCTAGTTGATCGAAACTGACAAATTTATGTAGAAACCAACTTCTGCTCACAAGAGTTCATAAACTGTTAGTGTAGGCGCTACTCAAACCGAAATTAATAGACAATGGTTAGAACTTTTAACTCAATATCTAACAATCAAGTAAAGTAATTACTGCTTTGCGTATAAAAAGTACCGATACACATACAAAACATTAAGTGGTCGACTATACCAAACAGGACATATGTAGTTAAATAATATCAAGTGAATTTGTTTGGAGAATCAATCTTCTTTAGAGGTCAACAAGCCAGAAAAATTGAGTACAGAAAGATAGATAAGCAACTTATGGTGAAGAACAAAGTATTGGTTTAAATAAATAATATAAACGGAAGTTGATCACAAGCATCGTGTGCTTCATTGTAAGATTTATTTGTACAGGAGATTATGCAATTATAACTTTTTTATTCACTTTAGAAAAGAATATTTACTATCACTCATTATAGCCAATTTCGATTGTAATAACTAGGAGGAAATTCACAAACTACTGCGAGATTGTTTGCTGAATTCAAAGGAAACAAATGAAATAAAATCTTCGAGAACGCTATATGTTTTACTGAATTTGTGATCTGCTTCAGTTTTATTAAAATACCTTAAACTTTTCATTGTAATTCATAAATCACATTCAGCAACAATCATACTACATTTACATCATTTGAGCATAGAAATACTTAACGACATGAGAACCACTTAGGTTTCTAGACGCAACCAACCAACCGTTGTGATTCAATAAAAATTGGAAGTGTATAGCAAATCTATATACAATGAACTAGTTAGTGTAGGGAACTTAGTTCAAGCTTTTAATCATAGTCAATTCTCAACAGAGTGTCAATAAACATGAAAGCAAGTTCCAGAGCGTTTTGTTTGACCTTTTTCCTAGAATCTTTATTTATTCATATCTTTTATACGAAAACTGAGAGTTGGCAAGTACACAACAATATGCATGACATGAAAACATCAAATATTTGAATTGAAGACGTCTGAAGCTCTGCCACGAAGAGAGTATAAAAACTGGATATTTTACTTACTGCGAAAATGATATATAAAAAAAACTATTAACTATAATTTTATATTCTGTAGAAAGGTGAAGAACAATTTAGAACACAGGATATAACTTTAAGAATAAGAATATTAAACCATAAAGGTTAATTAGAGTAGATTATAGCAACTAGTAAAGTACGCAAATATTGTTTTGGTAATAAAAGTCAATAAACTGAGTGAAAGCGTCAATTAATAGGGGAACGAAAGTAGTAATCCATATATTAAGCAAAACAAATTGAACGATTACAAATGAAATGAAGTTAATGAACGAAAACAATATTAATAAGAATAACATAAAAGCGAGACAGTCTCTAGACTTCAAAAGACTACTGATAAGCGATAAAAATACTGTAAAATTCAACCACAACAAAATGAGTTCATGTGTACAGTCATTGATGAAGTTAATATTTAAAAGATAGGACAAGAAAAATTCATAGTGTGAAGATAATAATCATATGTGGAACATAGACATAAAACCATACAAAACTTCGTTTATGTTAGCTTATGAATCGACAGTTATGACAAATCGCAAACAGGTTAGATTGACTGAGATCTTAAGTACAATATCGGAACTAGGTGTAATACCATCCAACTGGTTTCAATCCTTGATCCTCCCAGTCTACAAAACAGGACAGAAGTCCTCTTGTGACAACCACAGGGGAATCAGTTTAGCTAATATAGTGTCCAGATTGTTAGCTTCGATAATACTTAGACGCCTAACTAGAGCTCGTGAAGAGCAGACTAGAGAAAACCAGGCTGGTTTCAGACCTGGATGTGACTGTATAGACCACATATTCACACTACAACAGGTCCTGGAACACAGGCGTACATTTAGGCGTCCGAATATTGTAGTCCTCCTGGAACTAAGAGCGGCATTCGACTCTGTCGATTGTGAGGTTCTGAGGCAGTGTCTGTCATCAAAAGGTGTACCAAAGAGGTACATTAATCTTATACAAGCTCTCCACTCGAACACCACTGGTCACGTGAGAGCCTATGACGAACTTTCATCAGATATCGTTACTTAAAGTAGCGTCCGTCAGGGATGTCCGATCTGTCCATTCTTGTTCAATTTTGTCGTAGACATGCTTTTAAAGTTACCATTATCATCGTCAGATTTTTCAGGGGTGGACCTTCTACCAGGAAAATCGCTTGCTGACTTAGAATATGTCGATGACAGGTTCTATGGGGTGAAGACTCTGACAAAATGCAGTCTTCTGACTACCATAAGCAACAATGCAAGCATGTTCGGGATGCGGTTTTCCCCCTCGAAATGCAAAATGTTGCTTCAAGATTGGGTTCCATCGGCACCTCAACTAGTGATAGGGAGTGATGTAGTCGGACGTGTAGACCGCTTCACTTATCTTGGGAGTCTCATCAGTGCTGATGGCCTGGTGACTGACGAAGTCCTAGCACGGATACAGAAAGCTCGATTAGCTTTTGACAACCTGCGTCACTTATGGCGCAGGCGAGATATCCGTTTGCTGACTTAAGGACGAGTATACTGCGCAGTAGTTCGCTCCGTCCTACTTCATCACTGTGAAACATGACCAGTCACAGTAGAACATAGTCGCAGGTTAATGGTTTTCGATCATAGGTGTCTCCGAGGCATAGCTCGTGTATCCTGGGACAACCGAGTAGACAATGCTATTGTTAGGAAACGGGTTCTAGGTAGGGACGACAGACCAAAACATGAAGTATTGAAACTTCATCAATTGAGGTGGTTGGGACATGTGTCGCGTATGCCCAACCACCGACTGCCTTGTCCAGCTATGTTTTGCGACGTAGGAATAGGTTGGAATAAAGCTAGGTGCGGCCAGACCAAAACATGGCACAAATCCATGAAGTGACTGACTGATAGGTGTCGACTACTTGGTTGCAGTCCCCAGTGACATGGCTCAAAAGCGTTTGCAGTGGCGCAGGTAAATCCACTCTTCGTGTTTTCTCAAATCCTAACCTTCAGAGTTTATCACCTATATAGTTTTCGTTTTAGGGTTTATTTCACTAGATTCTACTTCTCAGATTATATCGTCGAACCCCAATCTCTCCGAATACCGCTAATACTTTTACTACCTCTACTTCTATGGGATTTGAAATGACAATTGCATCTCTGTGCTAGTGTGGTATGGCAACTTGAACTGATGTACTTACGTACGAAGTTCTACGTTGCTGTTGATCGATTGACTGACCTACAGTTGGTCGCCATCTACGACGGGACTGCATTTCTTTACGTTGCCCCACTATCCTGTGGATTAGACTTTTAAGCCAAAGGCATGAGGAGTGGCCCTCTAAGGATAACACCTGCATCGGGTCTAGGCACCGAGACAGAATCCCATCTCGCAAATAAACTCATCGATTTGTGTGACATGTTAAGGTGCTCATTTGCACCGATTATATGTTTAAATAAATAAGCTATGGAACTAAACATACATAACATACTTACCAATAATAATTGATTTTCCAAGACATCTGAATGATCATATAACCTTGTTAAGTGATCGAATGCAAATGGTGCAGTAGCTCGCATTAATTGATCTGCTCCCGATATCTGCCCTGATACTAGACTTCTAATAAGAGTAACTAATTCTGGTCGATATGCACGCTGAAGTAGATTGAATGAAGAAGCTCGTTGACTAGCCTTTATAAACAGATAAATAAATGAAAACAGTGAAAAGCTAGAGTTCAGGAGATCTTACGATTTCATAAACGTTGTGATAACATAAAATGCATCACATTCTAAGGGTAACACATATGAGAATCTGCTTAACAACTCACTCTGAGAATTAGTTTAAATGTAGGATTTAGGTTTTTTTTATATATCAGCCACAGGCATAGATCAAATAGACTTTTAACTATCGTGATAATTAGATATACTATTTGTGACTGTAGGAAAACCCTTTCAAGTAAGTAAGCATCTTCAATGAACCAAGAAAGTTATGAGGGTCGAGAACTTCCTGAAATTAGCTGATCATCAAATAGTTACCGATTTGGACAGACTTGGTTAAAGCACGAAAGGTCAAGGACAACATACTAGATGCTAATAAAATTGCGTAATGCATAAATTTCTTTAAGGAAAAGAAAATACACTAACCTGTACAGCTGCAACTGTACCACAAGCAACTCCCAACATTAGTTTACCAAGTTGTATAAAATCAGCCGCCTACAAAATAAAATTGTAGAATTATCGGCATATAGACTATTAAATCAAAATTTATATGCACTTAAAATTGAATAAGACTCAACCTGAAATAGCATGAATTGGTTATTAAGTTGGATGTTTAGAGATGATTGTATACTACAGTTAGTTGCTGTTGTGCTTATGTATATGACTTGGATAATAATAATAATAATAATAATAATAGCTTCTTAATGTTAAGAAATATCTGGAGTTTTGATGCATAACTTTTCTACTGAAATTTTCGGGCCTAATTAGCAATACCATGAATATATGCCTTACATATAATATAACAGTGGTTTCAAGAAATAAACACCAAGATAGAAAAATATCATTTAGCCTTGACGTATATCGTATGAACAAGGTGAGATGAAAGTAGTGGAAAAGATAGTAAATAAATCAGAATTATAGCAGTAACAATGACAGTGGGAATGAAGAGATGAAGAGAATTTGACTCGAAAAAGACTAAAATATAGAAATTAGAATACGAAATAACTATAAGACTCAAGATCTAATCGAAGCTTAAGAATGACTGCATATACGTCATTGTAACTGACTCTGAGTGATGATAGATAAGGTTATAAGCTATTGATTGCGCAACAGAGAAATGTAGATTTTCTAATAAATAAAGGAGATAAACTGGATGATGATCGAAATTGATACAGAACTTGAACAAAAGGCTGGTTCAGGACAGCGAATTTCAGGCTATTGCCACTTTTGACAATATCACAAGATCTGTTTCACACGTATCCAATCGATAGTATGCATGAATGCATAAAATAAAAATTACCAGCTTACCTGATTCTCGATTAAATTAGTGTCTTGTGCAGAATAGAACAGAATATCCTTTAAACCAAAACAGTTGATTCGCAAACTGTAGAAAGATAAAAGAAGAGAATGAAAATAATAAGTCGCGTAATCTTATTTTCCTTTTCATAAGTGAATTATTCAATGACAGAATCAATAGTTTTTACATCACTAATACAACTATCACATGTCATAAACATATGTACGTATGTACAAAGTTCTACGTTACAACTGACTGAGATGCATAATGAAGCAAACAAATTAAATATGTCTTGATTGTATCATTTAAATTGTAAGCAGATAAAACATGGAACAAATCCATGAAGTCATTGACAGCTGGACTGAGCCATGTTGGTAGGTGTACACTACCTGGTTGAAGTCCGCGATACAATAGTAACCAATGATTAGAGACCTTGAATGACATGGCTCTAAATAGTTTGCAGTGGCGCAGGTGCATCCATTCTTCGTGTTTTCTCAAATCCTAATCCTCTGAATTCCTGATGACCGTTTTCTCTATTCTGTAGACTGATTCCTCTGGGATATACTTCTCGAATGACATATTTGATGACGTATCTTCTTGATTACGGTTAATACTTCTACTATCTCTATTACTATGGGATTTGAATGGAGAATTCGATCTCGATGTGAGTGTACTATGGCGGCTTGAACTGAAATACGTACATACGAAGTTCTACGTTGTAGCTGACTGATTGACTGACTGGATTGTAAATAAATATTTAATTTATTGGTTATTTTCTTTCGATCAAACTGATATAGATAGTTCTATAGAACTTAGACAATAAGTCAAGTGATAATATACCAGGACCTCTCGTGAGGTAGACTAGGTAATTTATTTACTGAAACATGAAGGATTTACAGAAACAAATTATTGTCAAACTATATTTATACTAAAATATGACAAGGACTTGCTACAATAAGACCCACCCTTTAAACATATGAACTAATATACATGAAACTAGATTTCATAGTAAATTGCAACCATTAAAGATTGATTATTTTCAACTGAAAAATTAGGTGTGATTTACTTCACTCATTAATGTTTCGAAAAAAACGTAAGCATAAAACTGAAAGACATATTTATTTATTGTAATTAACCGCTGAATCATCTCGGCTGTTTACCTTGGAATCTTTTAGTTGGTCTAGAAAGTTGGTAGATTATGAATTACATTTTGTTTTTATGTATCAAAATTATCTCTAAATGTACAAGAGGAATGCGTCCTCTGGATTTAGTGTGTTTTCAGCTGTTCCATTCATGCGTTGGGTTTTCATGACAAAAAAATCTTAATTACCATTTAGATTCTATGAATTTTAGACTGTTGGGAGGACGAAAACAGTAAAGTGAAATTTTAATCTTAGGTTAGTAAAAAGAAAAGAATACTTTTGCTCGGTATTCTTCTTAAAATAGACTATAAGAAAGGAAATAATTGGTAATCTATACATTTCTGTAGTACATTAAACATTTGAGCAAACTATAATTCAAAAGCGACTTTAGCTTGTCTGATTACAAAATCAAGTGAACCACTTGTTAGAAAGGGGTGTGGCAAGTTGGATCAATATACATATGTGCCAGGTTCTACGTTGAGAATGACTGACCGACAGAATTTCTTGTTAATAATAGACGCCGAAAAAAAACATCTCAAGATCTAGTACTTAAATAATGGTACAAAAGTTTTTATTTAATAGAAGTAAGTTAGTGTAACGAAATAATTTCCTTCTCTGAAAATGATTTTCCATCTCTTAGGATGCTTTCATGTAACTAAAGGATTTAAAGAAATACCTAAGTAACCAATTTTTTGTTCAACAATATTTGCTCTAAAATATACAGTTACCTATCTAAAAAGAATAGCAGCTCTACATACCTTTAACGATAATTTTAATCGGAAGTACAAAAATTATGAACAAATAGTACCAATAGTGTGTTTGCGTAGGAAAATCCATGTTTGACGTCAGATGATAATGAAGCATGTGTACAATGTTAGGAATTCGATCCATCAATTTTTGTAGGCAATGACTAAGATGTTGGACGTTATTTTTTTTGAATGAGCACAGTAACCTACAGATTTTTCTGTAAGGTTGTAATACATTCAAAATAAAATAATTTCTTGTGTAATTGCCATTTAGTCGAAGTTAATGGTACTTGGTGTGATAATCATCATATGTTCATAGTGCACGCATAACATATGATATCTAGATATAAATAAATAAAATGTTACGATAAAATTACAAAATTTTAAGGCTAAAAAACTGAATTCTACCGCGGTCCATCTTGTAATAAAACTTTAGTAGGATCCAGTATACCACATGATCGGTGAACTGTTTGATGAATAAAACGCAAACCATTGGTTAATTGGATTAAATATGACCATATAACAGACTCGTGAGGCATTCCGAGATCAGATGGCGCATCTACAATTGAAAAAGCATAACAACGTCAATGTAAGTGAACAATTTAATCTACTACTTGATTAAAGATATTTGCAACGCATATGGATCAAGCACCATAGGAATAAAATACTTGGCTATGAAACAATAAATTCAAATAGTTGTGACATATGTCACTCATCTTCATCTACCATCTTTTGTTTCAATGTGTTATTCCGGTTAGCAAGAAGAAAGTTTACAACAGGTCAGGAGTGGATTAAAACAAGTCATATCATCATTATGGACGAAAATGATAACAACAAATCTGGGATTATGATTAGGTTAATAAAAATAATAATGCAGAATTCAACCAAGACAGTGTAGATTTAATTTGTCACATATGTGTACATAGATCAAACTGGATGGGAGGGGGGTACTAAAAACAAATGGATAAATGGAGGGTAATACTATGCTTAACATGTGAGTGTGGAGAGAGAATGCATTTGTACTTTTCGTACTTTTGTGGAATGCGATGATTTGTAAGGAAGAATTTCTCATATTATATTCTTTATTTTTGTGTTTACCGTATCCAATACAAGTACTTTTTGTAATGAATATGAAATAACCAAAATATCTTACAGTAAAACTTTTAGTCACTGGACCTACTTAATAAAGTTGAAGTAACGATATAGTTGAATTAATCGAAATACAAACAGTTTAAACGTATCTCATTATACTGTTGTTATTAAATACACTTACTCTTTATGACGCTATGAGGTAGCACCGTGCGACCAATACTGAAAGGTGAAGTAAAACTAGTTAATTTCAATGGATCACTCATATGAATTTGTTGTAGAGTTGATGAACAAGGTATGTAGTCATAAACCAGGATAACCGCTACAAAATACAAATAGATTTACTTGAAAAAAATATTAACTTTATCAAGTATCAAAAAGAAATGAATTAATGCACAGTTCGTTAGAATTTCTTTAAATAACACAATAATGTTTCATAAATAACTGATGAGAAGCAAATTATGTTGTCAATGAATAGTCATGATAATGAAAATAAATCGCCAAAATACAACCTTGCAATGTAATAAAACTTGTTAGTTCGTTTGTTGGACTCTAAACTAAATCTCAAAGGATAATAAAGACATTAAATATGAAATTGATTCATCATTACATCATGAATTTCAAGCACCCTACTAAGATTTAGATTGTTGTTTTCTAACATGCACTGTAATTCAAGTAATTTTTGAAGCCAAATTCTTAATTCATCTGAAGTCCTGTATTCTCTAGGTTATCTCTGTGACAATGTGATGAAACACCTTTTCATAGTTAATAAACCATTAAACACAGTAAATCAGAAAACATGTTAGTAAATATGTGTACCGAGCTGCGTATCATGTTTAATATGTGGCAGTCGGAAATGTTGTTAACTGATCGCAAATGGTTTGAGAAAGGAATCCGTAATTCTGTATTTGTAAATTATGGGTAGGATCATTGAGAAACTACTTCACAGTCTTCATTGAATATATCATTAATCCTCCAATATTCATATTTCGTAAAAGGATATTTAAAACATCACTAACTATATTATCATATGGCCAAGCTGTCTTTTTAATCTTGGATCTTCCATTCGATATTTACAACTGCGAATGACTAGTCTCTTAGAATGTGTATCGTGTGAGGATTACTTCGATATCACTTCTATCGCAAACATTCTTAAGCAGAGAACGGCAGTGACTAGCAGCGGAATCCAGGATGTGTTCTGTCCAATTTGGAACTCGTTAGCCGCAGTGTACTTGCATCACAGAGTTGACGTTCACTGCGAGAATCTTGAATACTGGTTTTCTGCTTAAAAATATTTTTAATGTAAGCATTAGAGTTCAATATTTGTAACGAGAATAATGCGTCAATGTTTCTGTATTTTACGCAAATATTTTTATACGTAGTTGTTCAAAGTAGACTTACAGTTATCAGAAAATGCATCAGTGAAAAATACGTCCCGAAACCCAACAATGGTAGGATGATTTAATTCAGATAGTTGTTTAGCTAAATAATAAGCATCAGGTGCTAACACAGCTTCATGATCAGGTGGTAAAATCACGCGTTTAAGAAGCATATATCGACTGAACCGAGGAGACCAAGCTTTAAAACAAACGCCAGGGAGACCAAATGTCACTGATACTCTTGGCTGATCCAAAACTTCTAAAGGAACGAGGTCAGTGTACGCTCCTAAATTGCGAGGTAATTCTGCAGAAACGAAAATTAAAGATAAAAGTAAAGATTCCAACTTTTACCAACAGTAGTTTCAGAGAATATGTACGGGTACAATAAGCCAGGCTCTGGAAACTGAGATATTCTTGATCATAAGCAGATATCTTTCATAGAGGGCCACGCCTCGAGCCTTTGACATAAAAGTCTAATCCACAGGATAGAAGAGCAACGTAAGAAGATGAAGTCCCAAGGTAGATGGCGACCAACAGTTGGTTTGTACACCATTCGCGCCACTAGGATCCTGGAACCCATGTGCACCATTGGTATGGAGTCAAGGTTTTTCGACTCCTCTAGGCTGATCCTCCGTACACATACAAACCAAGTTAAAGCATAAAACATTTGCTGTTTCTTTTAATAGTTTCGTAAACCAAACTTTTGTCACGAGAAGGCAGTGATTAAGAATTTCCCAGTAGAAACTATATATATTCACGGCCATATGACAGCATTTCGAGAGGACTCTCCTCACTCGGCGGTACGAGGGCATTTGATATAACCGTTTATCTTAATAGGACAGAAGCACTAAAGATAGCCTTATGTGAAGCAATAATAACAACTGAAAACTTATTTTAGCCTAGTTTGGAACATAATAAACGAGGTTTAAAATAACGTGACAAACTAAGATTATACTTTCTGCAGTTGACTAATGTAAGTGATCTATGAAAATTCAAATGAAGTGCTGTTTTTCGCGTTCCTGAAAACAGGTGGATTATTCCATATAATTTGGAGGATATAAACAGTGATTGTATTTGATCACGTATACAATCAGTTGCTGAAGCTATAGTTAAAGCATTATTAAAGCACTAAATGACAGACTGAGTGAAATGTTGCTTCAAGATTGGGTTCCATCGGCACCTCAACTAGTGATAGGGAGTGATGTAGTCGGACGTGTAGACCGCTTCACTTATCTTGGGAGTCTCATCAGTGCTGATGGCCTGGTGACTGACGAAATCCTAGCACGGATACAGAAAGCTCGATTAGCTTTTGACAACCTGCGTCACATATGGCGCAGGCGAGATATCCGTTTGCTGACTTAAGGACGAGTATACTGCGCAGTAGTTCGCTCCGTCCTACTTTATGACTGTGAAACATGACCAGTCACAGTAGAGATAGTCGCAGGTTAATGATTTTCGATCATAGGTGTCTCCGAGGCATAGCTCGTGTATCCTGGGACAACCGAGTAGACAACGCTATTGTTAGGAAACGGGTTCTAGGTAGGGATGACAGACCAAAACATGAAGTATTGAAACTTCATCAATTGAGGTGGTTGGGACATGTGTCGCGTATGCCCAACCACCGACTTCCTTGTCCAGCTATGTTTTGCGACGTAGGAATAGGTTGGAATAAAGCTAGGTGCGGCCAGATCAAAACATGGCACAAATCCATGAAGTGACTGACAAATGGACTGAGTCATGTTGATAGGTGTCGACTACTTGGTTGCAGTCCCCAGTGACATGGCTCAAAAGCGTTTGCAGTGGTGCAGGTAAATCCACTCTTCGTGTTTTCTCAAATCCTAACCTTCAGAGTTTATCACCTATATAAATTTATTTCGCTGAATTATACTTCTCGAATCATTTCTTCGCTCCCTAATCTTCTTCATTACTGCTAATACTTTTACTATCGCTACCACTATTGGATTTGAACTGGTGATGTTTCGCATGTGTATAATAGGACAGAGCGAACTAATGAGCAGTATACTCGTCCTTTAGTCAGCAAACGGATATCTCGCCTGCGCCATAAGTGACGCAGGTTGTCAAAAGCCAATCGAGCTTTCTGTATCCGTGCTGAGATTTCGTCAGTCACCGGGACATTAGCACTGATGAGACTCCCAAGATAAGTGAAGCGGTCTACACGTTCCACTACTGCACTCCCTATCACTAGTTCAGGTGCCGATGCAACCCAATCCTGAAGAAACATTTTGTATTTCGAGGATGAGAACCGCATCCCAAATATGCTTGCATTGTTGCTTAGGGTAGTCAGAAGACTGTGCATTTTGTCAGAGTCTCCACGCAATAGAACTATGTCATCGACATATTCTAAGTCAGCAAGCGATTTTCCTGGTAGAAGGTCCACCCCTGAAAAATCTGACGATGAAAATGGTAACTCTAAAAGCATGTCTACGACAAAATTGAACAAGAATGGACAGATCGGACATCCCTGACGGACGCTACTTTAAGTAACGATATCTGATGAAAGTTCGTCATAGGCTCTCACGTGACCAGTGGTGTTCGAGTGGAGAGCTTGTATAAGATTAATGTACCTCTTTGGTACACCTTTTGATGACAGACACTGCCTCAGAACCTCACAATCGACAGAGTCGAATGCCGCTCTTAGTTCCAGGAGGACTACAATTTTCGGACGCCTAAATGTACGCCTGTGTTCCAGGACCTGTTGTAGTGTGAATATGTGGTCTATACAGTCACATCCAGGTCTGAAACCAGCCTGGTTTTCTCTAGTCTGCTCTTCACAAGCACTAATAAAGCGTCTAAGTATTATCGAGGCTAACAATCTGGACACTATATTAGCTTAACTGATTCCCCTGTGACTGTCACAAGAAGACTTCTGTCTTTTCTCATAAACTGGGATTGAGACCGGTCGGACGGGATTGTGTCCAGTTCCTAGATTCTACCTAGAATCTCAGGAGTCAATCTATCGGGTCCTGCTGCTCTCTTTCGATTCGGATTCCTTACAGCCTTTTCAACTTAATAGAGGTTCGGAGGGCTAACGTCGACTTGCCATTCAGGATGACTGGAGATCATGGGTGATCGAAGTGTGGATGAAGGCCAGTTGAATTGATCCTTAAAGTGTTCTGCCCGTTGATCCAATCTCCTGGAATGAGAATAAATAATAGCCCCACCCTTTCCCGAGATAGTCTCACTTACACTAGGATTCCTAATACCGGTTTCCTTGATATGTCCGAAAAGTTGTCTACTGTCGCCTATCGCCGCGGCCTTTTCCATCCCTCCCACTTTCGCCACCCACCACTGTTCACGGTCGTTACGTAGGCTTTTTATCAGCCTGCGCCTAAGCTGACTTTGTTCTTCGTTATGTTCAGAGCCAGGTGGGATGCGTTTTCGAGCATCCATCAGTTTGGTGGATGCTACTGAGTGGTTCACCCTACTAGCAGATATCACCGCTGTTTACACAGCCTTTTTGATATCATTTCAACCTGCTTCCGGATGGGAATCGCTTACATGGTTGCCTAACTCTCTTTCTAGTTGCTTCTGAAATATATTCTTAGCTTTATTATGATTAAGTAGAACCCTAAGAGGCTTTCTTACGGTGTCTTTCCTACGTCCTGTAAGCCTCAAACAAATACAAGATCGCATTAGGGCATGATCTGAATCTAAACATGCTCCCCAGAATGAGCAGCAGTGATCAACAGAGCCTTTCCACCGATGGCTTATAGCGATTTGATCTAGTTGGGTCCAACGTTGAGACGACTTCGGGGGTCGCCAGGTCAAAAGCTGTTGCATAGTTGCAACAGACGGTCGCAATTGTCTGTTCTCTGAGCCGCGACACCATAACATCCACACAGGTGTCTTCCCTGCTCACTTAGTCTACCTACCTGAGCATTAGAGTCACCAGCCATTATTACTACATCAGAGCGCCTAGCCTTTCGGAGGAGGTCCGAAAGCCTTCTGTAAAACTCATCTTTAACCTCGTCTGAACGGCAGTCAGTGGGGGCATATGCAGATACGACGAAGAGGCAACGGCGAGTGTCCCTATCCTTCCGAGTCCTTACTGTCACGTTCAGTCGGACAGCACACAAGCGACTATCTACTAGGATCCAGTCTAGAAGAAATTGTTCAGCTCTACGACTCAATGCTATAACTACGCCAGCAAGAACCCTGGAAGTAGGATCAAGGCTTCCAGATACACGAAGAGTAAATCGAGCTGCTTCTTTGTTTTGACAAGGTGAAATCAGATTAATAATTTTACTAGGATCCTGTATGAGCGTTTCCGAGACGCAGCATACATTGATGGCACGAGATTCTAATGTCCTAGCTAAGGAAGCCTGTTGCCCTATTTGACACAAAGTCCGTACATTAAATATTCCAACATGTAAATTAGAATGAGATTTCAGGAGACCAGGAATGACGTTTCGTGAACTCACATCGTTTGCATTAGCTGTGCTGTGAGATAAAGGAATGTGAGAAGAGTTAGTCGCGGAGATATTAGAGGGTGTAGGAAGGATTTGATTATGACCGATTCGGTCTCGTGTCTTTATGAGTATGAGGGCGGTTGTCAATTCCCGGCAGCCCACACCGTGGAAGGTTGTTTCTAGAGGAATCTGAAAATGAAGGTAGATTAGTGTTGGTCTTAACGACCTGGGAGCGTGACCGCAGAGCCCAAGTGACAACTGCTTGAGGCCAGTCAAGCACAGCCTTTTTATGAGAAGTTTTTAGAGTATTAGCTCTGCTCTTAAAAGTCTTTGGTGGATACCCTTACCGCCGGAGACGCAAATCCGTGAGGTAGGGTGAGGTGTGACATTTTAAGGGTCGACCTTTTCTAACCCTTCCTTCCTTGTGAGAAGGCAGCATCGCTGCAGATGCTGGTTGTCGGAAGGAAACACCTTACTGCCGCCACACCCCTCTGCAGTCAGCAGTACGACTTCGCCCTCATACCTTAGGTTGCTGCTTTTAGTCTCATCGTTCTTCAATCGACCTGCCTGGCATGGTAGAACCAATATAGCTCGGTTGGATCATCACGATAGGCAAGCCCAACCACCACGTCAAGGAAGCAGCTTCAGCGGTATGGTGACCTGAACTGATGTACATACGTAAGAAGTTCTGTATTGTATCTGTTTGTCTTACAACGCAGAACTCTGTACGCGCGTAAATAAGTTCAAGCTGCCATACCACATTAGCACTGAGACGCAAATGTTAATTTAGATTTCATAGTAGTAGAGATAGTAGAAATATTAACGGTAATCAAAAAGATTGTGGTTCGAAAATATTATTCAATAAGTATAATCCAGTGAAATAAATTTAAAAACAGAAAGATAGAGGTGATGAGCGATTCAGAAAATTACAATTTGAGATAAGACAATGAATAGATGCACCTGTACGATTGCAAATGATTTTGAGCCATGTCATTCAAGGCTTCTAGGTAATAACAACTAGAATAATAATAATAATAATAATAATAATAATAATAATAATAATAATGATTGAGTAAAGTATTATTTTTCGTTGTCAACTAAGATACGGTCCAAATACATGGTTGATGTAACCAGATGCCTTAGTAACAAACAATAGGTTCCTGTAACAAATGATGAATTATGCACAGTGCATGGAATTATAACACAAGTTACAGTCTGAAAACCAGTTTATAACCATCAGCCCCTGATTCGAAATATTTTTTCTAGAAATTGCATCTCAGATATTCACCATTTTAAGTTCTTCTCACTGATAAAATACAGATTTTCAATCACATTTTGTGTGATTGCTTGTGACATGAATACGCAAAACGATGTTTAAAACTGAAATAGAGTGATGTAAATTTAAGTAGCTTAAATAGTAAGTTACTGTTTCACATATCTCCGTCTGAGGTCTATCTGGAGCCGTTGTCAGTCTCAAGCATTTGTATAGGATTGCGAATCCCAGTTAGTGAAGAAATTACAGAAAAGTAATACCCAAAGTAAACCAACCGATCCACTTAGTCTGACCAGACAGTTGAAGGATCCTTATCGGAAAGAGATATGAAGCCTAACGGCATAGGCCGATATTCTTCAGCTGTTAGATCAGTTCCTATTTTAAAAACCAGAGCAATGACTAATACATGCATGTAGAATATTTGGAAAATGTAGGGCTGTGAGGTTTATTTACAGTGATAAAAATGAAAAGATGCAACTAGGAAAACTGAAATCATTTAAAAAGAAAGGAATATTTTAAGGAGAGCTGTAGCTGTATTATGATTGGCAAGAAAATATCCTACAAACAGGAGTTGCACAGGTACCATCCAAAGAAGCGAAAAGAACCTTTTCATGAGGGGTATCTCATGAACACAGAATCATTAAGGGGTCTTTCAAAACAAAAAATAAAATTACAATGATACGCGCCCATTAAGAATGGCAGCAAAGACAGTAAAGACTAGGGTTGCATTCAGATTGAAGAACATTTGGAACTCAAAAGAACTATAACCCAAAACTAAAGTCAAAATTTTCAAAGTAGTTCTCTCGCATGGAGCTGAAAACTACAACAGTCATCAAAAAGGGCAGGATATCCGAAATCCATTGTCTAGAGATAACCAGCAATGAGCTGCTCTAGTAGAGATATTTAGGAAGTCTCTGGAGAGAGACAGGACACACCTTACAGAAACCACCAAATCGCGTCACAAAACAAAGCCTAACTGTGAATCCTCAAGGCAAAAGGAAAAGAGAGAAACTAAAGAACATTGCCTGGGATTGAAGGTAAGCATCGAGACTATAAAACGTGACTGGCAAAAACTGGAAAGGAGACCCCAAGACAGAGTCGGTTAAGATCCTTAGTTGTTTGACTAAACCCCAAGAAGGAAAATAGGCAGAGCAGAATAGGTACTGTTCTAGACAGATACTGAGGCACTGGTGGAGCACCGAGGCAATAAGTATGCGTGCAGGGGAGGAAATCAAACTCATGTCTGTGCATAAATAATAGAGCTTTAGATTTCATTCTTGTTCAATAATCTTCTGTCGAATAGCAGTAATAACTTAATCTCACATGTTGAAAAGTTTTGCGTAGTAACATCGTTTCATTAAACGATTGTAATTCATCTTTTTTTATAAAATTTAATTATCAGTTGATATCACTTACTTTCCTTTATTGACTCGTCAGCTGTGAACAAACAAGCCTGAAGTTTACTGTGAAGTGCCTAAAATTAAGAACAAAACTCGTGAGTTTGAAATTAAAAGCATTCAAGACTCCAGAAAATAAAAATATTGGGGATATATGGTTACTTACGTTTTTGAAGTCGTCATCAATCATAATGGGACCAAATGCAGGGTTGTTGAACAAATGTGACTTAGCTTCGTGAATTCTTCCTGTCCTCATATGAGCTGCAGTGCCCTCTGGAACTGGCGGAACGAGAATCCATGGGGCAACTTTAAGGGTACCAGAAGCTTGGAGTTTTTTCGTATTTTCAAAATGATGGCTGGAATAAAATTGAGAGGCAGTAACGGGGAGAACACACGGAGAGTCACTGAAAGGGGTGAGGTGGATATCGTGTCTCATTTCGGGAGGCAGTGGAGTGTCAGATTGACAGTTTAGTGGGGAACCTGATGAATTCCGGATATGAGATTGTCCAGGCTGTGTTAACTGTCTTAAATTCGGTGGCAGAAAATTTTCAAATGAATGCGAAGAGGTTAAAATATTGTCAAATGCAGATGGAGGTGAGTTGGAATGGGTGACGGTTGAATGATTTATTCCATCCGTAGTAAGAACGTCACCGGCTGCAACGCCAAATCGACTGGAGAAGAAGGATGAACTCATCTCAGTGTTTAAGGGAATTTGGCGACTATCTGGTAGGTTGGAAAGGACACGAGAAGATATACCAGGGGCCTAAAAAGGACATGAAAACCTTAATAAGTAAACTGTATGAGGATAGTGTCTCCTTAAGGAATTTTAGATATTAACAGTGGCTAAAACCTATTGAGCATTACTAGACTTACGACAACGACGAAAACCATTGTCAACTATTTTAGTTTCCTTGTACGATTAGTAGAATTACATATTTCACATTACAGAAGTCAAAAGTGAATAGTGAGAGTATATTTCGCACAAATACTTCGTCCTTTAATAACATTTCATGTTGTGGTTCACTCAATTCTGATGACACTTGAATGCAGTGGATTATTCGATTACTTCAGTTACTGCTTACGTTGCATAGACTGCCGACCAGCAATCTTAAACCTACTTTGTCCTTTCAGGTTGTTCCTAAGAGCTATTCATTCTTTTGATGTCTGGTCTCGACTTCCGGAGCAATGTGCTCTTTGATTAGCCTGCTTACTTTTTATTCTGAGGATTTCAAGTTGGAGCTTGCGTGGTGGTGCAGTTTGCGAATTTCAACTGTGTTCTATCCACCTCCTGTGTTTGTTCCTAATTTCTTCTTCAGTTGGGAGCCGATCTGTTTTCGGCTGCAGCAAGTTGTTGCTGATGATGTCCGGTCAACGAATATGGAGTGCTTTGTGCAAGTAAACAACTGTTTACTGTTTTGACGATGGATGCAGTAGTTCACTGAATTTCGGCTCAAAACAGTGAAATTGTTTTGACATTTGCATTGAATATTCTTTGATATTGAGCGACAGTTGTTGTAAGTTTTAGGTGTTATACATTGCAGAAATGTTACCCTTTGATTGCTGTCTACATGTTTTTCCTTTCTTGTATTGTGTCCGTGATATCAACCGAGACTCGTCATTAGTGATGGTGCTTCTTCTGATCAAAAACTCCAAGACATGTTGGAGTTAATGGTTCTCTAGTCGTTTTTCAGTTGTTGTCCGTGGTGGTCTCCTCTTCTTCGAAGAGATCTTGAAAGGCTTGGAGCATATCGCTGACAGCTATCTTGAATTCGTTGAGGTTGCCAGTCTCCGGAAGGGAAGCTCAAGATCTCAGTAAGAAACGAAGAGTCCTAAAACAATCAAACCAAATAGTATAGCTCTGGTTGCAATAAGAAATGCTTGATTTATATAAGGATTTGGTAGGCGCACAGTATGGAATCACAAATAACCGACTAGCTGTTGTAAGATATGTGTTATTCAGGCGCCTGAGAAAAAGCAGTTCGATTTTAAAAAAATCGGGAAAACTGATGTTATCCATGTCGTTTATCTGTATACACATTAAGTAATTGTCTCCACATGCACAACAGAGTAATTATATGGAACACAAGATATGAGGCCTTCAGGAGTTACGAAATATGCTCTATAAAACGAAAGGCCAGTCATACATTCTGATGTTTCAATTTTATAAACATAATGAACACCCGGAGAATCCATAAACTGAATGTTACATGCACGCGACTCCCTATAGTCAAATAAACAGAGAAGGAAATAAGAGTTGAATAGAAAAAAGGATCCATTTTGTTCCACCAGGTTGGTATTGGCTGTTGATAATTGGAACGTCCACTGACTACATTCGTATAAATAAGTATATTAGCCTTTACTTAGAAGTTTTGTAGGTTCTAAGTAGCTTAGAACTTTACATAATAATATGAATTTCTGGAAAGCTGATTATGAGCTTAAATGGACTTACGTGATAATAGTTGACGGTTAAACTTACTCGGGGACGAAACATACTAGCGAAACCATTATTTCCTGGAACCACTGCTTTTGATGTGAGAGCTACCCTTTCAGGAGCTCTCGTGGGATGTCCATTTGGGGGAGTGAGAGCTTTAGAAATGGACACCGTGGACAATACAGATGGTCTGTTAGAGGTGGGAGTGGAATTCAATGATAGAAAGTCAGGTATCCCTAACGTACGACCAGAAGTTGGACGATGGGTACCTGGAAAAGCAGCCTCTCCAGATATACCAGGAACAGGACGTAGAAAATTCATTTGTGTAGCTGACGAAGTCATACATAATGAAGTAGATTGATCATTCATCTGTAGTGACGGCATATTCGTCAATTAAAAACGGTAGTGTTAATTATTCGCGTTTACCTGTGCAATTTGGTTAGGCCCGATCGACAGATTTTTCAAAGTATACGATAGTATATTGTTTTGGATTCCTGGATTACCATGAGCGTAATTTGAGGTCATGGCTCTCACAGTAAGATGGAACTCCGTATTCTAGATAATCAAGCCAAAACTTAAAACAGATGTCAACAGTGGTCTGATTGATCGCTTTTTATCATACAGAAAGTTCAGCAGTACACTACATTCCCTATATGAACGAATTGTAACGGAACAGACTTTGCTCCCGCTTTGGAAGTTGCTCAAATTCAAATGTTAAACTGAACCCTATATATCCAATATCTTTTTCACGAGCTAAAATAAACCAACTGATATATTTGAACTCTGTTTTTCTTCTTTTGGCATGCTTCCAGATGTTCGGTAGTGTCTTATAGATGGGGTTCTTGCCACTCGACTGCCTAGTTCTAGTCAGCTGGAAGTTGTTTGTGAGTTTGTATGTCCCGTGGTTTGAATGAATGCGTTTGTTTCAGGGCATTAGTGTTTCTGGATATCAGCAGATATCACATTACCAGACCGGAGATCAGTTAGTTGCAGTGTGTAGAATAGTAAGGAGAAAATTCTAATGCGAAGAAGATTCCAGAACCGTGTAAATAAACGGATAATTTATTTTACTGATTGGTAGTGAAGATTGTGCGAGAGGACTAAAGTGTAAGCAAGGGACAGGAAACAGAGATAACAAGCGAGATAGATTAAGTTAGTAATCTGAGGAGATGGCATTATTTACGACCAGTAGGTCTTTAGACACGCATCAGGCACAGCTTGTCCACGAGCGAGATGATAGTCCGTATTTGAGTATGCATTTATCAAGTCTCTTCTTAAAGCTGTCCACTGAGGGGGTTGTGGTCACCTCAGCTGGGAGAGCATTCCAAGTGGAAACGACTGTTATTGAGAAAAGGTGTGCATGAACTTGTGTATCCACTCTTTGATGCGCAATTTTTCGGGGATTACCTTGAGGGGCTTGGTGTTCACAATTCTGTAAGGTTCTAGTGACCTCACATGAATTCGCTTACATTTGATTAGGTCAAGCCTTTTGGTTAATTTATTTAACCAGGCCATTTGTATAACAATAACTCATATGTACCATTGGCTTTTATTATTATGTCCTTTGTATGAAGTGGTATGACTGAACATTGTTTATACCTATGCAAAGCAGCAGGACCAGACAACATTCCAGCAGAGGCAATGAAAGCATATGTGGGAGCAACTGCGAAAATGTTTCACATTATCCTCAAGAAGATTTGGGATGAGGAACAAGTACCATCAGATTGGAAAGATGGATACCTGATCAAAATACCAAAGAGAGGAGGTCTCAGCAAGTGTAAAAACTACAGAGGCATCAATCTTCTTTCAATACCAGGCAGAGTCTTCAACAGGGTATTGTTAAACAGAATGAAGGACTTCGTACACGCCCAACTTCGAGATCAACAGGCCGGATTTCGTAAGGATCGATCATGCACTGACCAAATTGCAACATTACGGATCAATGTGGAACAATCAATTGAATGCAACTCACCACTCTACATCAACTTCATCGACTACGAGAAAGAATTCGATAGCGTGGATAAGAAAACACTGTGGAGGCTTCTTCGACACTACGGTGTGCCTGAGAAAATAGTTAATATCATACGGAATTCTTATGATGGATTCAACTGTAAAATCGTACACGAAGGACGGCTAACAGACTCTTGTAGGATATAATTTGGCCTACAGATGTAATTCTAAAACAGTAAACGCAATACTGCCGCTGACAGAGTCAGGGGTAAAGCTATAGTCAATAGAAGACAATTTGGTTTTAAACTTCCACTATGAGAGAGGTGTCTGATCCACTATCTAGAAAGGCGCAAGTCTGAATAATTCTCTCGCCATTTTTTATCCATACGGGAACTACTGCAAAGGTCACCGGCCGCTGTATGCCCTTAAAGTTTTCCTCTTTACAAATCTAAGAATTAATGTAGGCATCACTAGTACTATCTCTTCCTTCTTCCCGCTTCTCATGTAACAGAGTATGATGTCTCCAGCCACATCCTTCAACAATACACGACCTCGGCGATCGACAATTCTTTGCTATATGGTTCGCTTTCAGACAAACATTGCATAACTTATGCTTAAAGGCGAATTCTTTTCTTTCTTTAACATTTCTGTCTTAAAACCTCTGGCTTTGATCTAAGGGATGATTGCTTGAGCAATCTGGACAAGGTGAACTATGTAAGGAGGTATTGCCGTCATTAATGCTTGCATGTGCTACCGTTGCTATGTTGTAACTTGCGACAGCTTTCCCTTTCAAAACACCAAAATCTCTTTTGTCGACAAGTAGGCCGTATCTAGTGTTCGCTATATCTGACTGTTCTTTTACGAATTCACAAAGGTTGTTGAATAAAGGCTCCCTACCTGTCTTGAGAATTCGACACGCTATTTTAACCCATTCTCTCTGTAGGTATGGTGGAAGTTTTAAAAACATGCTTTCGATGGTTTTCGTAGAATTAAGATCGGATAGGTAGTTCATTTGTGTGAGCGTAAGCTCACAGATATACATCTCACGAGCTAGCCTTCTTAAACTATTTGGGTCGGTCCCCTTAATAGCAGTGATGTTCAACATCTTGTCGATAAATGCACGGGCAGCTACGTGTTTCTGACCGAATGCTTCCTCAAGAAGCTCTAACGCTTTACGATAACCTTCTTCCGGTTGAAGCAACGTACAATGAACAATGGTAGCCTTGGCTTCACCACCACAATATTGAATCAAGTAGTTTAACTTAGATGGAGGTCCGACGCTTTCATCAAAACAATCCTCGAAATGTCGTATGAAACTCCATAAGTTCATAAGATTACCATCGAACCTTATGATTTCCCGCTTGTGTAGGTCTGAAGGTTTAGATATCATTCCTACCCAGTCATTTCCTGCATTATCAACTGTACGTGAAACGGATGTAGATTCGTACGACATAACCTTTTCATCCTGGATTTGGTTACAAAATTCTCTTCCTATTTGCCGTAACCGTTCTAACTCAATTTCATTTTCTACATGAGCTAAACGTACTTTAGCCAATTCTAATTCTAACAAAGGATCCATTTGGAAGCTATTTCTCCCAGAGTGGTCTTCGCTATGAGTTTCTGAATAGTGTGGAGACAATTCAGGAATCTGATCAGTCTTATGATCCTCGGTAGACATTTGGAGGTACTCAGTATATGAACTTCTGATGAGCTACTGGCCGAAACTATGTAGGATTTAATTTTTCCTACAGATGTAATTCTAAAACAGTAAACGCAATACTGCCGCTGACAGAGTCAAGGGTAAAGCTATAGTCAATAGAAGACAATTTGGTTTTAAACTTTATCTGTTTCTAAACAAAAAACGATTAAATTAGTACAATAAATAAGGAAATTACAATTATCAAGTAAGATGAGCAAACGTATCGATCAGTATAGCGTGTCTTTAGAAAATGAATAAAAAACATGAGTCACATCTATATAAAGTAAAATAATAACATCCTTTAATCGATAGGTCATTCAGAACAAAGAAAGTTTATAGACCGTTCAGACTAGATTACGTGGTGGGCGCCTAACCAATCTGACTGGTTAGTTATGACATAACTACAGTTAGTTATAAAATAACTAACACTCTTTCGAGGTGAAGACCAGTGTCAGGCAAGGTTGCTTACTCTCACCCTTTCTCTTTCTCCTGGTGATAGACTGGATTATGAAGACGTTGACATCTGGAGGGAAGCACGAAATCAACTGGACAGTTAGGACGCAGCTGGACGATATGGACTGCGCAGATGACCTGGCTCTTCTATCGCACACGCAACAACAAATGCAAAAGAAGACGACCAGTGTAGCAGCAGCCTCTGTAGCAGTAAGTATCAACATACATAAAGGAAAAAGCAAGTTTCTCCGATGCAACAGAACATAATAATATATTTATTCTCAAATAACTACGTTACAAGAGTCACGCCAGTTTACAGGCTAGATCAAATTGTCACAAATGCTTTAAAAATTACTGTAAAAGTTATAGCGGTTAAATTAAGTATAAAATTCAGTTTCTGAAAGCATATTTACACCATATCACTGACAGAAACAGTTTAATACAGCCACATTTTCAATAGTAGAGTACAAATAAGGAAGGTGCACAATGGGACTTTTTGGCGATTTGCCGTGATCAATAGTGAATTTGTTGGGAAGGGTCAACTGGAACGCGCTTGATACGAGCTGTTATCCAGACAGTCATGTACATAGGGTGTATGTTCCCTAGAGTCACCAAGGATTTCCCACCGTGAATGGGGTTCCGAAAAGGAGAAGAGCGAGAGAGAAAAAGGCAGCAGTGTGGCAAGTGTATATATATAACCAAAGCACTACTTAACATGTCATGTTGAAGTAGTCGATACAGTAGGAAGTCAAGATAAAATTCATACTGACCACTTAAATTACATTATGGGAATATAAGAATATAACCCACAGATAAAGGAGTACAGCAAAAAAGAAGGAAGAGTTGTGCGGTGTCAGGTGGATACAAGAGAAGTCGAAGTAAGAAGCTGGATTTATGTACTTTGAAATGGAAAGAGTTGAGTTCGTAAAAAGAAAACATTGATGAATAAATTTTCGCACTGTCTAACTGTTTTTTTTATTATTATTGAATGCCAACCTCTAAGTCATACTGTAAGCGCCTGAGTAAGAATGTTGCGGGTGTCTCGACAGAATAGCGACCTCAGCATAGTTTTGGAAACATGAACCACAGAAGTAGCAAGCGTATAAGAGCAACCTCAGTTATACTGATTAGTCGTCTCATCAATCTAAATAGCCGAAAGGAAACAAAATGTTCTGCCCCACAATCATGGGTGGTTTGAAGTCATCGCCCACACCATCGATGTTTGCTGGTCAGTAACTCCACCCTCCATCCTTATGTGTTGTTAGGCTCATGTTAAATAATTAAAAGAAACTATTGAGTTCTACTTGGTGCTCTATGTCTCACATCCTGTTGAGAAACACTATTTCTGCAAGTTCGTTTCACAAACTTCTCTGGCTGTTACAACTTATGAACTATTGGTTAGGCATTAATGCTATACAGTTAACAGTTATGGAGAAATAGTAAGGATTCTACAACAAGATATAAGCATTTAGAATGTAGTGGGGAAGATGTACTTAACTAGCTAAGCAGGAGATACAAAGAGTATCACGGTTAAAAGTTGAGCAATAGATAACACTAAGGTATCAAGGTAAGTCAATAGCGTGTAAGTGAGAACAGTATAA